AAGAACAACCAGCCATGATGTTCACTGACACTCAAATTGACAATTAAAAGCATACACATAGTAAGTGTAAATAAGGCATCACAGACAGTCCTTATCCTGGCATTTTAAACATTGTACAATACCTTTTTTTTTTTGTATTGAAGGCATTTTACTTTTTCTAAATGTTCCATTGTCTGTGGTTTTATCCATTCATATTGAATAAAAAGAAATGCCATTGCTGACATCTACAGAGGCCATAAGCAAAGTGGTAAATGCTATGCTAATTGTTGAAACTTCTGCCAAGTGCAGCTGACAATCCTGAACTCAATGTCCTTGTCGGCACTCCTGGGTCATTCACTAGATTGGCCATTTCTAGCCTTGTTTCAAAGAGAGTTGATAACCACAGGGTAACGGGGAATTCAGCACTTTTGTCTTGCCTTAAAATTCCCCGGATTTTCCTTATGTTTTTCTTCCTGAGTGCCAGACCTCGCTGCCTGTCCTTCTGCAGGGATGGTGCAGCGTGGATAACTTCCGTTCTGTTCTTCAACTGTTGTGCTAAGTCAGCATCCCAGCTGCTTGTCTGAAACCCAATGAGTTATTTCAGCATCACCATCTACTCCCTTTTCTTGTTCCAAATCTGCAGATATATTTGTGCTGCACACTGCAGTGCAGTGGTTTCATAAATCACCTACTTATACGTAGGTGTATATGCACAGGTATTGCAAATATCTCAGTGGCAGCAGCATGGAGCTCAGACAGCTTAATTTTTCTTACCAAGCTGGTCTGCTTCTGCTGCCTGGTTGTACATTTGGCTGCACCTGTTTAAAGTATCCTGAAAGAATATGTGTATCCAGTACTGTGATGACAACCACCCTCAATGATTTTGTAGCTCACAGGGACTCTTTGATCTAGAAACCAGTATATTTGTAGTTGGCAGCCAATACATTCTTTAAAACCAAATGCTTGTTTAATGAAGGGAAACACACTGTGTGTGTCTTTTGATATTCTGTATCTGAAGTCATCACTACTTACAGTACATGGCAGGTTTTGAAAAACAAAGCTGCTACGGCTTTTCTTTCTGTGCTATTGCCTACTGGGACTGCAGATATTATAAAGTTGTCCTTGGAGCAATTAGAGCAGTGGCACTAAAGGAAAAACCTTTGAATCTCTGCTTTATAATTCTTCACAAATATAGTCCATAATTTTACACAGAAGAGACTATATGACTCCACCAAACCACACTGATAGTGACAATTATGAAAAGCTTTGAGGAATTATTCTGAAAATTTCTGAAGTAAAAAAAATTCTAGAGGTAAAATAAGATCACAGAGGAACACTGCCCTTTCACAAGAATACTTAAAACTGAAGATGGCATGTCTAGAATCTAAGTAAATGAAAATTTTAAAAATGCAAGACAGGAGAAGTATTAAGAAAATAGGAACTTTTTCTTAACAGAAAGGTAACTGGTATGTAACTCAGTCTTTCAGTTTGGAAGTAAATACATCACTGTGACATAAGACTGACTTGCCCAAAGATTTCGACTTGAATTAGCAGCAGTATAATAGTTGAAATGTTGTGGTGATATCTGGGTTTCCCAAATACGTTTCAGAGCTTTTTACAGCACTCTTGAACCAGTCACAGTTCCTAGTTTTCTGAGGATGCTGATATTGATAGGCAAGATGGGTGCTAATGTCTTTACAAACAATTTAATGAGTAAAGGTCTTTAGGAGAAATGGGTGTTAATTGCCTCTATGAACCTCAAGCCACACAAGCTTGTTACAGAGCCCAACCAGTTTGACTCCTGAACTTTAGGGTAATAGTCAAATGGGTCAGCACAAAGTCTATTACAGGACCCACATAGTCTGAATTTCCAAATTTCAGAGGAAAATGACATCTTCAAGAGGGCAATGTATGGCAGGTGGTTCGGAAAAGTTTTACCTTTCTAGTACCTCAGCCAGTAGGAAAAGTAAAGGGCAACATGTGAGCAGGAGTTCAGGATAAAATGAAGCTACTGGGTCCTCCAAAACCTGGAGAAAGAATCCCCATGGGGGTATGCCCAGGTGGACACTCACCCTTTATTTGAATAAAGTTGCAGGACTCCTGTCTCCTTTGCAGACACTGGCTTTTCATAGAGTGATTTTCCACACAATATATACCTGACATTAGTCTAAGCCTAATGCAGGTCACACCACATATATTATCTTGTGATTTGCAGATTTATTAGTCTTATCTTGAAATTATTGAGTTTTTTGTTGCCATTACTCCCAATGAAAAGCTGTTCAGAGCCTTCAAAGATTAAAAGTATTTTTCTGACTGCTATGTTAAATGTGCTCATAATCCATTTATACCATCTTAGATTTCACATAAAAACAACTGTCCTTTAGGTTTGGTCTCTTTCTCCAAAATGTCATTTACCAGCTGGTTTTTGTATGGTCATTTTCCCTTATTTTTGCAGACTAAGGTAAACAGCACTCTTTCAGTTAGATTTCAAAGAGAGGCTCTGTGCTCTCTTTTGTCATCCAAATAGTTGTGGTCCAATGTGAATTAATCTCTCCTGAAGAGTGCACAGAAGGAACACATCATTTTAAATAAGAATTAATAATTTTTTAAATGGCAGTATTCAGGTATTTACCAGAAACACTTCTCTTTTAAATTCTTTGTGATATTTCCCTTTTTCACAGCTATGCACATTTTGTTTCATAATTTGAGTGGCTAACAGTTTCCTGTATTTTCCAAGTTTGTCTCCTGGTGCGTTTCTGGGTTCAGTACCCCGTGTATGCAGAAGCACAAAGAGAGGAACATTCACCTTGTTTGGCCCCCCTCAGGTGCTAAATGCACAGTTTAGTGCATCATTTAAGTTCATCCAAGGCTGGCAGGTGTGTATAAGCTCTGGCAGCGAGATTTTATCTTTGCTACTTCTTTAGCTGTAAGACACATTTTTACCAATTCCCGTCTTTAAATTTAGAAAGAAAATTTCCTCATTGTACAAATTTTCTTTATAACCTTAAAGGTAGAGTTACTGATTCTGAAACTATTTAAAAATATTTATTTTCAACTACTAGTCTGAAGAAAAACTATTTTTAACTACTAACTCTGAAGAAAACAATTCCTGTAATTGTGGAAAACATAGGGAACTTTTCTTTATCGTCCCAAGAAATCTGAATTTAGCCATATGATTAGGTGTCTGTAATGAAATGAAAAACTGCAGGACCAAAAGAGATATAGCCTGTTTCCTACCCCATGAAAGAAGTATGATATTTTATATCTGATCTAAAATAACAAAGGATGTAGCAATGAAGTATGATAAAAATTCAATCAGGTCAGTGCTTGGTTATGCATTTGCATGTCAGTGCATCTCTTTTAGTGCAGGCAGCTTGTTTCTTATTATCTAGAAGTACGTTATGAAATCTTGAAATTGTAAAGTCTGTAAAATTTTTTTTCTATGACCATGCCTGCCTTGGTGCACTATATGTAACATGAAATTAAAGGTCACCTTGTTTTCCAAGAAAAAATTTGAAACTGGCATGACCTGACCAGTGAAAAATATTTAACTAATGCTCTCTAGGTTTATTCTCTCCTAAAAGCTGAAAAATACCTAAGCTGATAAAAAACAAATATTTTTTTTCTCCTAGCAGGTGTTATACAGCACTCAAGCAATTCCTAAAAACCCTATGTTTAGAAGAGCCATCTCTTAAATCACTAAGCATTGCCAAACACATCATTTTGGTTTTATTTCCCCCCTTCACATTGTCAAAGATCTATATGCCCTGGTAGTTATTGCCATGTTTATTGATAAAAAAAATCTCTAAATAACATCTAAACATGATATAAACAACACATAGGGGAAGAAATTACAGTAATTAACACAACAGATGGACAGACAGCAGTTTGATCTTCTAGTTACCTGCTGCCAAAGTCAATCCAAACAACATTACTCTAAACCACTATGAGGCATAAGGGAGTGAGAAAATAAGTTCATCTGTTAGCTGACCTAATGGAATCTCCTTTCCTGGTGATTTGTATTTCACATCCGTTTGGTCATGCACCTCCTCCTCCTCCTCATCTCCTCTCACTTCCCCTCCATTCTCTCTCCTCTTCCTTTGCAGTCCCTGGGGACGTGGGATGACACATGGCTTGGCTGATTGTGATCTAACCAGACTCTGGACTCAGACTCATGCTGAGTGGGGGCATTAATTAAGGTGCCCCTTTTTATTAGGCTCTTCTATCCAGCTGCTGATTATTAGAAAATTTGCCAGAATTCACTGTCTGAGATCTCTGTCCATCTGCCAGATTGGTCTGAAATGGACCAATGGTTTCCATCATTATCAGGAGTCAGTGGAGATACAGGGTGGCCACAGAAGCCTTATTTCCTTAGGATAGCCACTTAAAAATCACCTGAAAATAAAGTAACTTAAATTAAACATTTTGTTTGTTTCAATTAAATAAATACATACCTGCGGGAATGGGTGTGAACTGGGACAGACAATTCCTCTCCAAAATTTTGACAAAACGAACCAAAATAACCTGGTATGGAAGTAGACGTGGCAATTCCTGGTCCTGGACTTCTCTATTGAAAGCTTGGAGTTTGAAACACACCCCTCCCCCTGCTCCACCCAAAACCCAGTAAACTTCTTGCATTTAGTCCACAAGGATAGCTCATCAGAGAATTCAAATAACATTCATTATAGTCCTTATAATTCAGCTGTCTGTATTTCCACTGGAAAATTAGTTCTATCCATCAATCCTACCCTTTGTAAATTTTCCTGCTTTTCCTGTAATATTTTCATTTTCCTTTACATCCGTTGTCTTCATTAACATATGCAGAACAGTCTTCCATCCATAATGGAGCAGGCTGGGTCATGGCATTTACTAATCTTAGAGAAAAACCTCAGTACTGCAATTTGCCTTCGTAGAATCAAGAAACAGCTGGGGAAATCACTGCGCTGCTGCAGTTTGGGTGCTGGACAGAAGAGGGTGCCCTTCAGATAGCCTGAGACAGAAAAACAAGAGACCTTGGCAGGCTGCGGGCGCTGGGAGCAGCCGGAGGGCGGCAAGGTCCCAATGAGCGGAAAGGTTCCAGCGCAGCGAGGCTGGGGAAGCCCAGGCAGCCTGCGCTGTTCGCCTGGAGCAGCCCTCGCCCACAACCTCCTAAAGCTCTTTGGACACTTCCATTAAGGCTGCATGAAGAGCAGAAGTGGGAAGTTACTTGTCCCTGGCGTGCTATGAACGAGTGATGCTGGTTTTACTTCTGCTGCATTCAGAAAGTGGCTGTGAGTTTATAGATTTGATGTTGGAGGTGTGTGCTGGAGTCTGCATTCTATTCAAATCAATCTTTTTGGAGGTTGTCACTTTATCGAGACTGAATCTCATAAACCAACCGAGGAAACAAATCCTGCGCGGGGCTGCCTCTTTGCAAATGTGATTTTTGACTCATGCTGCTGGCATCCCTGACCTGTATGCTCACTCCTGCAGGGGGTAAGTTTGTTGGCTACACTGAGCAAGCAGAAATGCTTCCACATTGTAAAACACTCCCATAACAGTGATTCAGGTTTAATCAATTACGTGAGGTAGCTCAGAGAGCAGTTACAGCTGTGTAAAGCATTATTCAGAGTTAGAATTTGACTTCATGTGATAACCAGGCAATATACTCTCAATCAGCTGTCAATTTCTGTAGGAATGAGGCGCTGTCAGCCCTTAAAGATCTGTTCTGAACGTTTCTATCAAACAAATAATGTCTTTTTAGTCGGTATTTTCACAATTTTTTACAAAGAATAAAGAAAATGTTGTCCTTAGTTAGATCTAGAGACGCTAAATAAAGTTGTGACGATTGCAAGACAACCATGTCTACACAGGCTTAATGGAAGTGTTCAAGGTGCAAAGTTGTTTTAAAATCTTGATTTGCATTGTGTTTTTCAATATTAACAAAGCCCTTACAGCCCTGAAATGATGCTCATTGGACCACTTTGGTGTTTAAAATATATGCCATACATTTGAATATTTTTAAATGAAGTAATGATTAATGGTTTTAGTAAGCAGCCTGAAATCCAGTGTTAGCTGATGTGTTGTGAAACAAGGAGAACATTTACAGGACATTGCAATATATCAGCTCAGTAGAATTGAAATTTCACTTTTTCAAATGCCGCTTCAGATAAAATTGTCCTTTCAGGGGAGCATACTTTCTCCACCAGAACTGGACCAGGTTCAGCATAGACTGCTATAATTATGCAAGCCTCATCACTAAGCTCATGACAAGTATTTCAGTCTTCCTTAATTCTTCTATCATAATATGAAAACATTCCAAACTATGTTCCATCAGTAAAACTGTTGAAAGCATGAAATCTAAAATGTCCTGAACAAACATGGTGCAGCTTCATTTTGCATTGATGAAAATCATAGCTATAAGTGACCAGAGTTTAAAATGATGTGCTACTTTACCTTTCCTGAATGAGGTAGAAATAGCTGGAGATAGTAGTCACATTTACCCAAATACTTGTGGTCAATCATTGTGGGTTCTTCAAGAAGAGTTATAGAAGCCAAGGAAAAAGTGTTTCATCCACGAGAGGAAATACTGACTTGTCACTAAAAGTGACACCCCATCTTTCGGCCATAAATTCAGATTCCATTGGATCATGTTCCTTTGCCTGTTATTGTACAGTTAACACTGAAAATACTTAGAGAAGTGTGAAGTAGTATTATTTTCTTTATATATGTCATAGAAGACAAATCAAGAGATGAAAAATGTGATGTTTGACTTCTTGTTTTGCTAATTTTTATCTTCCCTGAATACTCTGAACACACAGAGGTACTGTCTTCTTCTGTGGAAGCATTTGAACAAGTTGGGTAAGTCTTTGTTGCTGTTTCAAAAGAGTAATATAAAGGTGCTTGTTTAGTCTCTGTTTTTTGAGCAGAAATTACATGGCATCCTGACAGCAAAACAGACAATAATCATAACAGACAATAATCAAAATCAATTTAATTTATCTCTGCTATGCTTTGAGCTGGACTGAAGTTTCCTGCGAGACAAACAAATAACTCATAAATGTATCATTCTGGAGGAATTAGAGACAAAATCAATATACTTTGCTCATGATGCACACCAGTGAGTTTTCATAACACTGATTATAAATTCTCCATCAGTAGTGAGGGCTGGATGTTCCAACTGCTCCAATAAAACAAGCATGCTTGACAAAACAAGCATGAGTTGGTACCAGCTGATGCCATCTAGGTTCTTACTTGAGAAGCTGACGGTCTACCCTATAGACTTTGGTGCTCATTTAACCGTTGACAAGTTATATTCTTCTAATAATGGATTTCTTCAGTAAATGTCCGGAGCTAAAATGGCCTCTATCACAGGTCCATCTGCTTTGGTCACGACTTTCCATTTACTCATTTCAGCAGAGAAAGAAGCTCAGAAAATTGCGCACCATCAGAGATTTGGAGGCATGGTGGGGATGGGGAAGTAATGTATATTGGGAGCTCAGATTTTACTACAAGTGACTTCGTGTAGACACAGCAAGGGCAGCTCTGCTGCTTTCTGAGTGAAAGATGGACTAGGTGGAGAAGAGTAATTGTAGCAAATGAGGATCCATAATAGACCAGGATTCACTGGTACTTTGTTGAATGACAAAGTACCAAATTACACAGAGGCAGTCATAATGGCGAGACAGGTCTGAGGCCAAGCCGCAAATTCAAATCAGAAAGCAATCACAGGATTAGCAAAGAAAATAGCCAGGCACAGCCAAATTCATAATGCAGCACAGGAAAGGACTGATAGCAGGGCCCTGAGCTCAAATGCAGCCTCTGAGTCAAGGGCAGAGGCCCCAGATAACATATCTTACAGCTCTTTCTCACACTATACTTTTAGAAGCAGTCTGATTCAAAGTTACACAACTCCACTGTATGGAAGCTGACATCGAAGAATGGTAGCCAAACTCCTGGGTAGGGGATGAATGGGAAAGAGATTGCAGTGTGGATGTGCACTTGGGGCCTGACATTATACAGTGGAGTAGCTTTAAAGACACAGGGTTCTTGGTTTGGGATTTTTTTTTTTTTTAACATTGGGCTCGCACTCCTAAATCTGATGTTTTTGGAGAAGAGATTTACAAAAGGCTGAATTCTCTTATCCAGCAACGAGTGATCGTCGGTGGTTTCACACATGCAGATAAAGCTGGCTCATATCCTAGTAAGACTTTCAGGATGCTTAGCAATCACCACCATACCTAGCTTAGAGTCTGTAGCTCCTGAATTGATGGCCCGCTGTTTGCAAGACAAAGACCATCTGGTTATCAGCCAATCTAGCTAAAGCCACACCAGGAAAAACAGAATGGGCTGCTTTCACCAAAAGCGAGCTAATGGGGGGAGATTTTTGGAGTAAATGTGGTACCAGGTGCAGATGCTTGGACAGAAGCAGGGGTGTATGAGTACCCTTGATGTGCAACAAGCTGCGAGTTCATCATTGAACGTTTCTGGAGAGAAGGGTCATTATGTAGAAAATTGGGTTGTAACACATTTTAATTTGAAAGAGAACTAGTTTACTACCGAAATATTTTTCTCCTGAGCTTTATGCTTTATGCAATGCTGTAAGGAAGGAATATCTTGGCAATAGGGGACATCTTGTTGCATTCCATCCTTGATAAGAGGCTATTACTGCTCAGGTGAAGACTAGAAGACACACAAGCATATGTCTTCTGAACAATTCTTTGAATTGTTTTGGAAAAGGATTAGATATTTGAAAGATATTAAAAAATGTTTGTCTTTTCTGACTTCTACTAGTCCAACCTAATTGAAAATTTGTTTGAAGGTTGGAAAAAAGCCTTATTTTTACAAAAAACACATTATCTGCAAAGTTACATCAGCTCAGCAACCATAAACTGTAACACACATTTTTATTTATTACTCTGAGTATATTCAAGCTGCTGGAAGAAATTAAGAAAGTGCTGGATAGTTATATTAAAGTCAATAGGAATCTTCAGTTTCATTGTCATTGTGATTTAAACTGTCAGTAAAATGGAGCAGTTATATTGAATGTGAAGCAAGGTTTATGAGAATGCATGTCTGTGCCTTGTTTTATACTCCCTGGTTCATGCTTCTCTCACTGTATTAGGTTACTCCACCCTCTCACCTCTCTGTATCAGCAATAATATGATTAGCATATCAGCAGAGGGAATTTTCAGAGAAAAACAGCATGTCCTTGTTTTGAATAGTGATAGATTAGAAGTTTTCTCAGACTGTGGTGGGATTCTTAGCTTATGTAGTGTCAAACATAGCTACTAATATTTTATAGAAGACAGATGCAAACCTACATAGTTAGGTATTTGTTTTCCAGGACTGCTTCAGTGGTGGGTGTTTATCTTTATTCTGTCACAAAGTGTTATCCTGTGCCCATCACTCCACATTACCCTTAGAAGGAGCTCAATAATGTCAAACCAGATACAGTTACAATGAATATATAATTTTGCATGAGTAATTAATTCTGCCTTTACCGTATTTATCTTGCTTTGGTTTGAGTTTTTCCAACTACATTTTCCATTAGTTTACTGTCTACTTCTGCTAGATGACAGATGGGATAGGATGATACCAAGCTTGTGGATTTGTGGGGGGCTACAGTAGGGTGTATCTGCTTAATTCCTGGTTCTGTGTCCGTTGTGCACAGCGCTCACACCCAGCTTCCTACCCAGCTTCTCTTTTGGACGAAAGGAGTTGTTGGTTCCCTGCGGGGGAGAACTGGGTGTGCCTGGAGGCTCCACCTCAGTTGCTGTCCTAGGTGGCAGTAGAGACCGTGCTAAATTTGGCTCTTTGCCCTCTCCTCAGCCCTCCATTGCTGTCCCATCTGAGCCCCTACGTGCCCTCACGGTGCGCAGCTCATGCCCTCAGCATCATGTTACAACAACACTGTCTTCACTTTTTTTTTTTTTTTCGTCACTTGGAATGGAAAAAGACAGGGGTTAAAAAAATGTTTTAGGATGGCAAGGACAACGGGGACGCCTGAAATGGGATCTGTGTGCATGAGCACAGCCACCTCTGTTCCTTGGAGCCTGTGGGTGGCTGGGAGGCTGCCCGGGCACCACACACTTGGAGGAGTGCGTGTTGCCTTTGAGACAAATTCCCTTCGGTGACTTCCAAACATTTCTACTGACGTGAATGGTCTGCTTTAAAGGCACGTGGAGATTGATGTGGCCACAATGTAGTCAGAGAAGGAAAGGGATTTTTGCAGTTATGCTGTCACGGTGAGCTGAGACATGCACAGGGCAATGAGGGCTGTGCAGGTGAAGACAGATCTTGCCCTGACCTTCTCTCTGGCTGCCTTTTTATAATGCTGTTTGGATCAGCAAAAATGAAGTTTTACACTCTATCTTTCACTTAGTTGTGGATAGCAGTGAACAAAGAATTCTTCTAAAAAAGGTAATTGCATCTTCCTGTCTATAATTCCTTCTCCCTGGTGAGTGAACAGAAGTGTGACAGGGACATACCTTGAG